AATTGCAATTTAGAACTGTGATAATTTTTTCCAAAGAAATGTTAGAAATGTAATGATTTTTATCGCAGAACATTTCAGAAATGTAGATTTTTTCGAAAGAAATCTTGGAAATGTAATGATTCTTTGCAAAATAAATTTTAGAAATGTAATGAATTTTATCGCAGGAAATTTCAGAAATGTAGACTTTTTCGAAAGAAATTTTGGAAATGTAATGATTCTTTTCGAAAGAAATTTCAATTTAGAAATGTTACGATTTTTTCCCAAAGAAATTTTAGAAATGTAATGATTTCTTTCAAAAGAAATTTTGGAAATGTAATGACTTTTTTCGAAAGAAATTTTGGAAATGTAATGGAAATGAAATATCGAAAGAATTAATTTAATAATTCTAGCAACGAAACATTTGTTAAAAATAGTAACTTTGTATTTCCCTCATTTTACCTGTTCTTCAGAATCGAACAATTGGTTCACACATCTACCGAATTGTGCTACGTTACTATCTAAAGAAATACAGTCTTCCCAGTATTTAAAAAACGTATGAAAATGTGACATTTCGTTGTAAAACCTAATTAGACCGAAAACAACCTCGAAACGAATTATTTCCATTAAAAGCTACTAGAATTAGATTATTGCACGATTGACAAGTAATTTGTAACAGTATTCAATTGGACATTATCGTTCAGATTAAACAATAAAATTACTACTCTTTAGACAGGCACATCGACTACATAAAAAAATCAATATCGTATTTGCCTTAGCGTTTCATTATTCATTCCATTACACGATCCAATTCCTCCATCTCTCTCTCTATTATGCAAAGGATTACGTAATTAGAACAAAGATTGAAGATTTTATCCTGCTCCTCGGATGCTAAGAGGATTAAGAAAACCGTTGAAACTTTTGCAGTTTGTGTTGTATGAAACATTAATTTCGCTGTAACGAACAGCTCTCTAGAGTTCCAGATGCCTGTTCCAGTGACAAGCATCCTCAACACACACATACACACATCCGTGCATCCGAATATCCGGGGGAATGATGCAAAAATTCGCCACTTTTCCTTCCTTTTTTTTTCCACTTTCCTCCTTTAGCGATAGAAACATCATTTTAGCCGGCGCGTGCTTGTATCGCGCGAGTAAAGCGGATATCCGTGTTACTCGGATAATACGGATATCCGTATTATTTGAATAATGCGATAGAGTAATCATATAATTCAAGAAAATTGTTATAGACTCGATTTAAGGGTGATAATAGAAATTATCCTATCACGTAATATAAATTATCCCCGTGTATCGAACAGTAGGTACCATTGGATTGCAACATGCGAAGCATTTGTTTTCTAAAAATCGAACGAGAATGTTTGATTTCCTTCCGTTTTTTTTTCTTTTTTCTTTTTTAAGTAATGAAAGAACCATCGTTGTACGTGTGTTCGATTTTTGACAGAGATCTGAGAAGAAATTCTGACGTGAATTTTAAGAAAGTTCTTGTTAATTGTGAGTGATTTATGAGTCACCCTGTAGGTAACAGAAATTTGCAGCAATAAAGATTGATTTCCTTAGAGTTGTACAGTGTTAGAATTTTAATTAATTCGTCGTTTTAATATTACAGTATGAAACAGAAAACGACAGAAATTCTACATATATACAGGGTGTACCAATTTTTTCCGATCAAACTTTGTCAGTATGTTCTACGGTTATAAATAAGAAAAAAATGTTATATAAATATAGGTTGTTTGAAACCTTATTAAAAAGTTATAACGAAAATACGAAATACCTGGAGAATGGTAAAGAACTTGAGGTTACTATGGATACAAGACAAAAATGGCGCTGGCAGAAGTTAGATTTATCACCTTCAACGATCGCAAAAACAGACTATATAGATGTAGATATCGTTGATCTATTCCTATTTTACATCCTAATAACCGCACACCCGTTACCGTTCCCTTCGTATTATTGCTATAACTTTTTAATAAAGCTTCAAACGACCTATGTTTATATAACATTTTTTTCTTACCTACACCCATAGGACACACTGGCAAAGTTTGATCCGAAAGAACTGGGACACCCGGTATGCTACATGAAATCATTTACTACCGAAAGAAGCTTGAAAATGTACCATAAGAAGCGTAAAAAAAATATACGTAGAAGCTGTATCTACTGGCCAATACACGTTTCATTGTTACAATTCAATATTCAGCTGAACTTTGCTGAAAAAAATTATGCAACTCAATGGAAGAAGATGTAACAAAATTTCGTAAGTACCACATCAAATGTTAACCCTTTTCGATGGACTGTTTCAACAGGATCATCTCAGATTATTAACTTTACTAAAATTCTATAGTTCACAAGGAAAATCTATTTTTTTAAATCACTTTTATGCCTAATCACAATAATACGGATATCCATTTCGTTGAAGAAGAAAAAAAACGAACGAACAATTAACAACTACTTAAACTTTCGACTTGTTACACTGTGTTCTCAATTGAAGTATCGATAACGGATATTCGAATGTTCTTTCCTCAAACCGGAACATCCAATCTTGCCTGTTTCGGACAGTTTTAAGTATAGAGCGCATCAGGCACGTGTTGGTCCATCGCGATCGATGATTCGTCATCACATATCGATCGAAAGAAACGATTACTCAGTTGTAGAGTGCCGGCGACGATCGATTTCTCGTACATAGTCTGTTCGTTTCCAACAATCCACCGTCACTTGTGAATTATTTACAGAATATCGCAAGGTTTCTCGAAACTGGCTCTCGGTTTTCGTCGAAATGAAAAATTTCCCTAGCAGCGTGTCAAATGTTACTTTCATCCTTTTTCGTTAAGGCAAAAACGCGTTGGCACGGGAAGCAAATGAGTGGTAACGTTCACAGTGAATTCGTCGTTTTGAAAATTTGTTCTTAATACCGAGTGTCTAACGATGATCTCGAAAATTAGTCTATTCAGTTGTTTCAACAGGTTCGAAATAGAAAATTGAAGAGACACGCGGTATATGGAATATCTCTCGATACCTTCGAATAAAATAACAGTTTTTCTTTCGTGTTAAAGAGAGCTTCTGTATCGTAGTTTATCGAATTTTCATTATCATGGACGCAAATTTTCATTCGTAATATCGGCTTTGAATCTTCCATTTCTTTTTTTTTTTTCGTTTTAACGAAGAAGAGGGTGAAAGAGTTTTCGAAAGCTTCAGCTTTTTATTGTACTTTCGTCAAGTTATTACTGGCGGAAATTCAACGAAAGCAAACTGTTTAATTTTTCAAGTAAGTTGAATTACGAGTTGAACTTTAAGTAGATCGAACGCAAAGTGGCTTTCTGAGGGAAAAAAACACTTAGTTGAAAGCGAGTGAAAATCTTTTTAAACGAAATTTCAAAATCGGAAAGAAAATTGAAGAAAATTCGTTCAAGTGATTTTACCAATAACTTCTTTGAATGTGGTCGAGTGTTCGAGAATTACAATACTATTGACACGATTAGGCATACTTCAGTATTGCACTATTAATGTTGCAAACAGAACTTTTCAAAATTGTCGAATAAAATTAGAAAAAATTGTAACATAATTAAGAGAAATATTTTGTAAACATAGTATGAAGGTAACAGAATTAAATTACGAAGCTTCATATGCTCAGCGTTCAATTTTCAATTTTTAGTTACTGTTCTTTGTTTTACAGTTAATTGAAACTTAACCAACTAGGCACATTCCAATTTTGTACATCCAACTGAAAATTTTGTATATAATTCGGTTGAGCCGTTGATGCCACGAAAATTGCAAAACTGAATTTCTTCGTAACTCCTTTTTAACGGAAACAAAAGGGACAAACATTAAAAACCACCAAACTAATACTGGACAGTGCACAGCAAAGTCTTCCAAAACTACGTGAATAATTACCAGGAGTACGCAAGAACCTGAAAATGTTGAAAATTTGTTTCGAAATTGACAGAGATCACAAAAGTGATAGAAAATTATAGAAATTCTGATAATTGTCAGCATCAGAAATTATTCTTCTCAGATGTAGATTTAAAACAATATATTTCCTTTTCCTTCTATTTCTGACATTTTACAGCTAAATAACGCGTAGAATCCGAAAAATGTAAAATCTCGAAAATTGCAGTGTTCACCAATTATAAAAAAATTCCGACATTTTTACATCACAAATAAAAGATGTTTTGTCCTACAACTTTTCGTCAACTTTCCGACAATTTGAAAATTCCACTTTGCCAAAAACTCTCCATCGGCAAAGTTTGCAAACAATTTTTTCTGATAGAGTATCTTCTCGGTAGATATTGCACACCTCATTGGCTGATTCAGTGGCATTTTTCCCATTTTGGTAGAGGATTATAAAGATTCGAAGATTGCAAGATTCTCCAAAAATTACAACTCCAAGAAGAAACTAGTAATCGCAACAAGTAAATTTTCAAAAGACAGACGAAAAAATAAACTTTCATTTCCATCAAGTTTAATTTGTTATCAAAAATTGGCGCGAACTTTCTGCAGAACCAAATAAACCCGAATTCCATTTTTTTCTCCCTTTTTAGTGAAAGATTACCGAGATTTGAAGATATAAAAATTGCAAAATTCTCCAAAAATTACGACTCCAAGAAGAAACCAGTAACTGCAACGAATAGATTTTTAAAAAACACCCGAAAAAATAAATTGTCACTTCCATCAGGTTCAATGTATTATCAAAAATCAGCACAAAACCGAACCCAACACGTTACCATATTCTTCCAACTCCAAGTTCTCGCACACCCCCGCCAACAATTCCCAAAACTAACAATCAATCACAATCAGCTGTCTCCGCAAATGTCACCACTCTCGAACATGAAAAACGACCCGTCGTCGATTCCACAAACCCGTCCACAGTTCGCGCGATGCTTCAATCTCGAAACAAAACCAGACAAAGGGAAAGAAAGAAAGAAGAAGAAAAGCATGAATCGGCGTCCTGAAACGAATACATGCACAATGTCAATGGGCGGCTAGCCCGTCGGACGAGCGCTGCACGCGATCCTAGGGATCCTCTTTCGTGGTCGGCTGTATCTGATGCACCATGCTGGGCAGATGGTGATGATGGTGTTCCGGCCTCCTGGACAGCCCGAGCAACGGCGGCAGTAACGGCAGAGGCAGGGGTAGAGGTAATCCGCCAGGAAACCCTGCTAGCCCGCCAAGAATCGCCGAGGCAGTAGTGTGTTCCTGAGCTTTCCTTCTCAACTCGGCTAGGCTGCTGTTCCTGTGAAGATCACCTGTTCCCGGTTTGCAGCAACCGCACAGGGAACCTGGCCATCCAGCTGGTGACCAGGGCAGCATGTCCTGCAGGCTACCGGTTCGATGATCGCTCGAGGTCCAGAGCGAAGGTGTCGTTGAAGTTAGGGACGTTGGCCCGCTACTGACCACCTTGTTGCCGAACAGCGGCGGTGAGAACTGCGCCGCCAAGTGAGGAGAGAAGAACAGAGACGTGGGTGGCTCGACTGGCCTGAAACCTGCCGCTAACCCTGCAGCGCTGGAATTTCAATTGGGTAACAGTGTTTTTAATTCATTGGTCACTGATTGTTGACAGATTTTGGTTGGTACGGTAGCAGGTTCTTTTTGGAGGGATTTGGATTGAATGGTTTATTGTTCGGGAGTTTATAGTGCTTGCTTTTTTCTGGCGCAGGAGAGGAGGAGTTGCGACTGAAGCAAGTTTGTGAAGAGACGTGGCAAAAAGGATCTGCTGACGATGGTTTCTTTGCTAGCGTGTATTTTAATATTATAATAAGCCCCATGCGATGAGATTTCGTGGACTTATAATCAGTAGTTTTTGGGTCCTGTTTGATCCAAAGGTTTGAACCCCTTAACCTATGATTTCTTTTCTGACCACGCGTCTAAGCGTCAGCCATTTTCTACTTTAGTACTGTATCAGGTAACAAAAACTAATCTGTCGCAAATTAATTACACTTCGTGATCCTCAATCTTACAAATTTCAAACGAAAGTTAGGATTACAATGAATTTTTCTTACTAATAGAACGATTTTTCTCACATCTTCGCCAGAATCTCTGCCACGAGTCTGACAGGTTGTCATATGTTAAGGGGTTAAGTGCGTAGCCGAACGGAAGACCGCACTGGAGTTCAAGAATTTGTGAAGTGTATTTCATTGTATTTAGATTGAGTGATTTAGGTTGGCTTGGGTTTCTTTTCAGAGGGATTCGGGTTGAAAGTTGGAGGGAATCGCGCTCTTGCACCTTCCTAGCGCCTCAAGCAAGTCTACGAAGAGACGCACGCAAACAAACGTTTTCTTTATGAGCTTATATCTTAAAAAATTTGTGAAGCGTATTGTTCACATTATCTTACCAATTTGGTGGACGGTCCTCGAAAAATCGCGACTTTGTAATTATAATTAGAAATAGAATTAAAACAGAATTTGTAATTATAATAATAATATTGTGTAATTTCGGAATGGACGTTTAATGTGAACGTTTGGTAACGAGTCAGAGTATGCGAGAGAAGACTGGGACAGAGTGCTTGAGATTATGGTGTCAACGAAGGGTGACCACCCAAGGATTTAGGTGGATGTAATGTAGAAAAATAGAAGAATAATTGAACAGACGTTTCATTTTTTAAAACATTAACACCTTAGGTAGAAATTTGAAGCATGGACTGTGTAAAATGGTATCAAAAAATATAACATAGTGAGTAAACAAGTAAAATGGAAGATAGTATAGAAAAATAAAAACTTGTAGGCTTTTAGTTAATTAATTAGTTAACTAGAATTAATTTATTCTTAATTCTTGTTACAACTTTCACAGCTATCGTTCGCCAAAAAAAAAAAGTAGAGGATTTTACAACGAAAGAAAAAGTAACCAAATGTATTAGGTGTACAAATTAATTCGGTGCCTATTTTCGCAAAACTTCAACAAAATCGATTTAAAGCTACTATACTTTTTTTCGTCAGTTACCCAATAAATGGAAAAATGTCACCTAAAAATAACGCAGTTTACTTTGAACGTTAAAATTGTGTTCAATTTTTCGCAATTAAATATTGAAGTTCGTGAAAAAAGGCACCGAATTAATTTGTACACCTAATATTTCAATATTCACATCCAAGTGTCAAAAATCATCAAATAAAAAATAACGAAGTATGTATCTGCTACAATTCCAAATGCACCAACGTATCTACGTTAAATAAACGAAATTTAACACAATAAAAAGTGAATTTCATAATAAAAAATTTTCAAACTGGAAAAATTTCACCGAGCTCTTCGAATTCGATAGATCCGTTGAAGAAATAAATTATAGCCTCGGAGTGTATAAAGTTATGGGAAGGGACGAGAGGAAAGGGTGGAGGAGGGAAGCAGAAGGGCTCACGAAAGCGCTAACCCGATTAGCACGCGCGATATTCCGCATCCTCTGCCAGCTAGCAGAGGCTGCTTCGAGGCGCTGATGATTATCTCAAATATTAATCGCAAATATTGTTTAATTAATGTAACGAGCCCGAGGTGGAGCTCAAGTTGTAGAGGAAGAGTGACGGAAACCTCGGGATACGAGCCTCCGAGGCTGATAGAGAAAGAAGCCTAATTGGACGAACGGAGATGAAGCGAAGATGGTAAACACAGAGATACGATGAGATAGATAAACATGTACAAATAGATAGAGCGATTTAGGGAAGAAGGAAAAGTTAAGGAGAGCCGAAAGGGAGATCCTCAGAGGGCAAACAATTTTATAACGGTGGCTGATGGGGAAAGAACTATTTAATGACGGAAGTAATTCGTGGAAAATATTCAGGGTCGGTGGATGATATTATTTTTCGTCCCGTTTTTTGATATTTAGAATTGTGCTCTCCCGTAAATAAATAGATGAGAGACTTTCGTTTGGTTAAATGATTTTTAATTTTTCGTAAAGGTTATTCGAATTTATAATGCATTTTCAGAGATTCATTACAATTTTTCGAGAAAACTAAGGGTAAACATGTTTTTCCATTTCTGAGAATTTTCACGACTGGAATTTGGAAATAAAGATTTTTGAGGATTTCTTGAAAGGAACTTTGAAGTCGATTCATTTGAAACTTCAGATACTTTTAGTAAAGTGAAACAGTTTTCAGTGTGCAAATATTCTAAATATTGATACAAAATTGTTTCAACAAATAGAATTGTAAAGGACGAATTTTGAATTCTACAAAATATTGAAAATTGACAAAATGACAGCTGTTTGAAATATAAATTTCTTGGGTAACAGCTTGACATCTCATCCTAACACGGAAAAGGTCACAAAAATTATGTACACAAACGTAAACAATTTTTTCAATTGTTAACCGAACTATGCGAATTAACTCGTCACCAAATTTTAAGTCTTGCACTCACCGATTAAAAGTCAATAGCATACAAGCATTTTATTTTTCAATATTTTTAGTGTAAAAAGTATTAAACTATTTATGCCGAAAAGCCATTAGTGCGGCCGGTATCATCAACAATTTCGTAGATATTCACGAGTATCGATTCAAAAGAGACACCCTGTATAGATAAGATTATACAAAGAGCTTCATAATTACAATCATTAATGGAAAATAAATTGGCATACATAAATTATTTCTTCATTTCAACAAACGACACTATAGGTATACCTGAACAAAAGCATTTTAATAATTTCTGTAATTTAAAGTAAGAAATGCGTCATTTTTACGGGTTTGATAATTCTAGTGTTAATGTGTGCATAATTTGAGAATAAAAATTTTAGCGAAACAAGAAACCTAAGTTTCTAATCCATCCTTCTATTAACACATGTCTTACACTGTTATAGTTATATACCTATTTTCATTTTTGTTATCGTAACTTGTCACTGGAGAACACAGAAAAGCAGTTGGAATTGCATATACAAAGACCGCAAGTGGATTTCAAGTGGCGAAAGAAGGCTAGAATAGGAAACCACGACATAATGGCGGCAAGGGTTGGCGAAGGAGGCAAAGGCAATGGCAGAAGCGTAGAGAGGAAAACTTGAACCGCGGTAAGCGCGATAATTAGAGGCAATTAACTGCGTAGCGTAGCATACGCCACGCTTACGCCTTCCCCGCGTACACGCGGTTCGTTTCTTCATCTCTACGCGACTAATAGTAACATCTACACGGACTGGTGTACTCGTAGTCTCTCCAATTTCCACGTAGACACGTTCTAGATGCGTCGATGTTGACGCTTTGAGGGCTGAGACTACGCGGTAAGCTTTTGATCCGTGGCAATTTTTATAGGCATGATTTTTTAATTTTGCACTTGGTTACGGTGTGATTAGAAAATTGATATTACTGGAGGTGATTCCTTTTGCAAAAATGAACAATAAATGTGGAATACAGTTTCTTCATCCGAGGCTCAGTTCTCGAGAAAATTGGATTTGAAAATCCTTGGGGCACGTTTTCATGAAAGCACCGTTTTCAACAGTTCCTTAATTAATATAATAAAGTATTGTTGAGTAAATTTCTTTGTCTTTGCGCTTTCTTGAACTTAGTAAATCGTGGTTAATTTTGCTACTTGGTTAATTTTTATTGAAATGTATACAAACAATATAAATATTTTTTTTGTTTCTACGTTATTTTCTCTGGGAGCTTAGAGGAGTATGTATAATATGTGCATTAGTTTAAGAAATATTGTTTAATAGACGCTATTGTTCAACATTTTATGGCAATTAATCACTGTAGAAATATTTGTTCAACCCATTATATGTACTTACATGTAAACGTGCCCCAAGGAATTTCAAACCTGATTTTCTCCAAAATTAAGCCTCCGATGAAAAAATTTTATTCTGAATATTTTATTTATTTTTGAATGAAGAATCATCTCTCCTCTCTTTTGCACCTTTATACAATACTTTTAGCCCCACCATTTTATTGATTTTTGTTGTTTGATGGCTGTTGTGTGAAATAATCGAAAATGCTTTTGATTTTTCATGATGTTTTATGAAATATTGTACGTAGCATGGAAAAATTTGAATATTGGTGCTTGTAGAAATATTAACGAATTATGTTAGAAATAAGATCGATAAGTTGAGATATAGTAGTAATTTAAAGACAGTTTAAATGGTCCTCAAGATTGAAAGAAATTCTGATTTACGAAACAACGTAATCTACTGTTTAACTGCTTCTATCGATTACTTTTCGCTTGACTAATAAAGAAAAGTAATTATTATAATTATGAATTTGAAAAAATGAGTGGCTCACAGTATAGCAACAGATTTACTTCGCGAGTCAGAACTGAATTATTTAATTGCTCGAAATTTAAACTGAACGAAGTATCACAATTCTAGATTATTCTAGCAGCTCCATTATTATCAGATAAATAATCGTACGTATCGTAAAATATTAATAACACCGAAATAATTTGCTATAATAAGTGAAATTTATAACAACCTGTGATCTATTTTTATCAAATTTTTTCCGTTCGATCAATTTCTTAACGTGTACTGTATAAAATATTCCTTCGCTAAAAATACAAAATTCGTTCAATCCAACAATTATTTCACCAATTGTCCACGTTATAACAAAA